GGTCAGAGAATCAGAGACTCCAAGATGGAAGCTGCAGTGTCTTTTACAACTTGAACTTGGAGATGGCATACTGGTACCTCTGCTGTATTCTCTCGGTCACACAGACTAGCCGTGACACAGCTTGCGAGGGGATTTCCCAAGGTGCAGAGACCAGCAGGTGGGACGGCTGGGGGCCAGGAAGGCTGGCTGCCACGTCCAGTGTGTGGGGCACCACTGGCATGCCAAGCCCCGTGCTGAGCACCCAGTGTGCATGATTTCATCCTCATGGTAATCTGTGGAGTAGTTTATTACCCTCATCATCCCGAGGAAGCTCAGAGGGTGAGGGGTTTGCTGGGAGTGACACAGCCTGAGAGTGGCAGGGGTAGGATTCCAACTGGGGCTAATGATTAGAGTATTGTGTTTAAGGAAAAACGCTGCCCGAGGATTGACCAGAGTGGTCTGTGTAACTTTGGGTGAGCTCTCGCCCTCTCTGTTCTTCTGCCTCTCATCTACTACTTTAGGTGATCCTTTCTCTGTGGACTCTGAATCCAGACTTTAGATCCTGGCCCCATCCCAGACCTGCCGAGCTAGAAGTCGCTCTGGGTGGGGCCCTCCCCTGCCTTGGCCTGCTAGGCAGGGGCATCTGAAGGATATCCCTAACATCTGGGGCTCTTGTCGGGGAAGACATCTGCATTTCCTTGGTGCTTCTGTTGGAGCAGGGTCCTGAGCCGGCAGTCTGCAGGCCACCCTCCCCAGGGTGGTTCTGATGCCATCAACTCCAGACGGCAGGCATATGTGACACTGGGACATTGCCGGGCTCCTAGTGGGCGTGCAAGAACGCCGTTCTCTGGCAATGGTTTACTGTTTGCCTGGGGCTTGGTGGTGCCATAATTAGAAGAAATGATAGGTGAGCTGGGGCACCTGTGGCGAGCACAGGTCCGGGATAATTGCAGTGTGCATCCCTGCCCCTGGCCGAAGGCCGAGCTGTTGGCTTATTTTAGCCTGGTGCCAAGCCAGCTCCGTACCTCTGCACGCAATGGCAGGAACCGAGACTGTCGATATAGTGCAAGCGTCTGCCCGCAGCAGCCACACAGCGGGGCAGCCGCGCCATGGGGACAGAATGGCTCTGGGGTCAGCCTGACCGAGTGTGAGTGAACGCCAGCTCTGGTGCGCCTCTGATGTGCCTCGGACTCCTGGCTTCACAGCGTCATGGTCATGGTGATGACTCCACAAGAAAGCACGTGAGGGTCCCCAGGGCTCAGGATGAGGAGACATTATTGTTATAGTTACTGGTGTAAGTGTCATCATTGTTCCTGACGCTAACAATAATTGTTATGATTATTTCCAAGCCTTGGCTGTGAGCAAATTAGGAGGGAATATTTCTAAGCCTGTTTCCTCATCTGTAAAATGGGCACCTGACATCTACTCAGAGGGTCTCCAGGGGGATTAAATAAGGGAATGACAGCTACATGCTGGGGTGAAGATTTCTCCCCTCACTCCACGCCAAGCCTCTTTTCTTCCCTCTTCCATCCCAGTGTCCTAACTAGTCATGTTTTCTTTGAGCCTGGGGGACTGAAGTCGGGTGCCACAAGGCAGCAGACAGGGTTTAACTCAGTGGAACAGGGTTGAGCCCAGAGCTGAGCATCGGGTCAGGCCAGGGCCCTGCTGGACACGAGTCCTGCGTGGAGGGCTGGTGGTGGCGGTGACAGACCTGCCTTTAGGGCTTGATGTGTCTCTCTTCTATATCCACCCCGTCTCTGTACCCAGGTGGAGGAGAAGAAGGCTGGGGAGGCCTTGGCTTCTGCAGACGAACACTGGCTTGTTCGTCCCCACGCAGCTGTGGCACGGGAGCATGCTTATAAGGACAGGCATAAATGCCCGTGCCATTGACCTTGACTGCAGCTTTTTTTTTTTTTTTTTTTTGAGACAGAGTCTCACTTTGTTGCCTAGGCTAGAGTGAGTGCCGTGGCGTCAGCCTAGCTCACAGCAACCTCAAACTCCTGGGCTCAAGCGATCCTTCTGTCTCAGCCTCCCAAGTAGCTGGGACTACAGGCATGAGCCACCATGCCCGGCTAATTTTTTCTATATATATTAGTTGGCCAATTAGTTTCTTTCTATTTATAGTAGAGACGGGGTCTCGCTCTTGCTCAGGCTGGTTTCGAACTCCCGACCTCGAGCAATCCACCCGCCTCGGCCTCCCAGAGAGCTAGGATTACAGGCGTGAGCCACCGCGCCCGGCCTTGACTGCAGCTTTAATTGTGCTCACCAAGAGGGTGAGGGAGCGGACCACCTGGGCACTGATAGTAACCACAGTGACAGCGTCCACTCTTTGAGCGCTGACTGTGCACCACGCGCCTTAATGTACTGCAGCCTCGGAAAATCCTCCACAGCCGTGGGATCCTTGTTTCATAGCTAAGCACAGGCTCAGGGAGACGAAATCACCGTCCAGAGGTCACCCAGCTTCTAAGTGGCAGAGCTGGAATTCTAATCCAGACCTATGTGACCCCAGAGTGTTGTCCCACTGGCCTTGCCCACTGCCCCTTGGCCACCAGGAGTCAGCACTCTCACCTGGCAAAGCTGAGGAGCCCGCAGACGCTATTGCAGCCGTGGACCTGGTCCCTGGGAGTGGGCGGGTAGCACCACCTGTGCTTCTTACGGGGGAGTGGGGCCGGATGGTTCTGTGTTCTGGATGGGACCTCGCTCACGCGCTGCTGAGCATGCCACCCTCAGAGGATGAGGATGAATCAGCCGAGAGGGCCAGCTTAGTCAGCACCCATGCTGGTGTCTGGGCGCCGTCTAGAAACTCTCCGTCTGCCCCCTCCCTCCCCTGTCCCTGATCCCCAACTCAAGGCTGCCAAGTGCGGTGGTGCAGGTTGTGCTTTGTGCAAGGACGCCTGGCTGAGGGTGAGTTGGAGCTGAAATCTAGCCAGCGTGCTGCTTGCCTGCCAAGCTGCGTGTCTGGCAGGGCACTGCCTCTGTCCGGAGGAGTCTGCGAGCTGCGCCTTGCCCTCCTGCGTGCAAAGGCACCAGAGCAAGAGGCAGCGGGGTCGGGAGCCCTGGAAGTTCACACTTGGGCAAGGTCACCTTGCTGAAGGCCACCTCCTGCCCAGGAACAGGGCCTTGGGCACATGCCTGTGAAGTAGGTAGGATGTGTGGGCCCCCCACCACCCTCCCCAGACAGTGGGGTTCTGCAGAGCTGTCGTTCAGAGCCACAGCCACCTCTGTGCCTCTTGTGTACTCTGGGCAACCACTTCCCCTCTCCTGGCCTCACTCTCCGCATCTGTAATATGGACCCACTGACCCCAGAGGTCACTTGGGCACTGACATTGTGTTCTTATCTGAGCCTCTGTTTTCTGGAGGACAGTAACGAGGGGGATGACAGCCAGTGTTTCAGGCACTGTTGTGATCCCAGTTTTGATAGCAGGAAACTTTGGCTGGAAGTTAAATAATGGCCCCAGATCGCAGAGTTAGAGAGCGGTGGCACCAGGGTTTGAACCCTGGCATCTGACGCCAGAGCCCAGCTCCTAACCCTTTCCCCACGCGGCCTCCCCAGGCACGTAAACGAGGCGATTGCAGGTCCTGATGCTTAGTGCTGTCCCCAGGCTGAGTGTCCTCCTCTCGGAGGTGAAATGGGGCCGATGTGACCTGCTTCACAGGGCGCGGTGCTCGGTAAGGGACTGTGCTGCCCGCTGTTCTGGCCAGAGCCTGAGCGTGCTTCTGTGACAGGAGGGTGGAAGGCACCATCGCGGGCATCACTCATCTGATCATCAGATACCAGAACTGGAGAGGCCCTTAGCGATCACCGGTCCTGCTGCTTCACACATGGGGAAACTGAGGCCAAGAGAGGGCGAGTGACAGAGCCTCAGGCTCACCTGGCAGAGCTGGGACTAGAAGTCAGGGTCCTGTTGGTCCATCTGGATGGCTGAGAACTTCCCGTGTGTCAAAGGAAAGCATGGGCAGAGGGGGCCGTGGGCGGGCAGCTGTGGCCCTCGGCTGAGGCTGTCAAAGTGCGGACGGGAATGGAACTGTTGGCTCGTTTGCTCCAGGTGTGAGAGAGGAGAAAACCACACACACACACAGGGCACCTCACAGCACCTCTCTGAGCCTCAGTTTCCTTGTTTGTAAGTGGGATTATAATACCTCTTGGGGTTCACAGGGGGTAGCATGGTCCAGGGGTGTAGTGAGTAATGATGAAGCAAAGCTGTCATCAGTACGATCTGTTGGGAGAGACTTTCCTTAAGCGATTAGGAGCGTGGGCTCTGGGGCCTTGCTGCCTGGATTCTACGTCCAGCTATGCTGCTTCTGAGCTCATAACCTTGACTAAAGCACTTGACCTCTTAGAACCTAACAGGCCCTACCTCACGGGTTGTCCTGTGGATTAAGTGAGATGAGGCACAGAAAGCTTTTAGCTTAGTATTGGCACATAGTAGATTCTCAGTAAACCACTAGCTCTAATAAAGCCTGTGCTATTTACTTACTGAGCATTTGCTCAATGCCAGGCATTATTAGTGTCGTTTTTGCCATTTGCATTAGCAGACTCTCTGCACCACTCCCCAGGCAATCAGCAGCCAGCCAGACCCGCTGCTCCCATTCCCGCAGAGAAAGTAGAGGCCTAAAGAGAAGTGACTTGCCCAAGGTCACACAGCGGCAGCTTGATGCCTGTGTGGCTCCATCCAGCTAAGTCAGCCACTGTTCCATTTCTGTCTCCCAGAGAGACTCCCTCTCTGCCCCTCCCTTCCCCAGAGCCAGCAGCTCCTTGGAGCTTCAGGCTTCATGAATGGCTTGGTTTAGCAGTCGGCCGTTAAACGTTCATCTCTTACAATTTCAATCCAATTCCTATAAGTTTATTGGCAAGACGGGGTGTATTAGAGCTGCCAAATTTAATATATCAAGTCTGCGTGTCTGAGACGCAGTTTCTCAGCAGTAATGGGAGAAGAGAGGTTTTATATGTTTTCATTTTGAATGACTGTTCCCGATCCCATTACAGCCCCTGACTTAATGGCTGCTGTCCCTGTCTGCAGAAGCGGCTTTCTCCATCAACCTGCTTGGCTGCGGGGACTGTTCTGGAGGCTGGCTCATCTTCGCGTCTCTCCCCACTCTCTTCCTCCACCCGTCTGCTCTGCCGATCGGGTCCTGGAGGCTGGGGCTTTTGCTGCAACCTGGGTGGCTGCCTTGTGACCGTAGGGAAGTCATTTCCCTTCCTCCTCTGGGCTTCAGAAACCTGCTCTGTGACGTGAGGGCTCGGACTATAGGGTGAAGGGTTGGTCTGGGCTCAGCCTTGGCAGATCCCACTTGATGACCTTGAGAGGACTCGTTCCTCTTCTGTCCTTGTGGCACCAAACTGGGGGACCCCAGCGTTGGCCATGACAGTCATTGAATTGCTGCCCACCTTGGACTGCAGATCTCCTGGGTCATCATGGCTGAGGGGTTGTAAACTGTGAGCCAGCCGTGGAAGGGAACACACCCAGCAGTGTGAGTTTGGGGGGCCTGGGTTTCCCTTCTGCTCATCAGCTGTGTGGCCTCGGGCGGATCACTTCAGTCTGTGAACCTCTGTTGCCCCAAGGGGCAAATGGGAATTCATTTATTCAACAAGTACTCGATTGTCTATTCTGTACCATGCAGCATCTTAGGTGCTGGGGCGCCAGCAACAAACCGAACAGAAACACACCTGCCCTCATGGATTTATGTTTTTGTTAGGAGAGAAAGACAATAAACATAACAAGTAACTTAGGACTTGAGGTGATGAGTGTCTGAAGGAAAAATAAAGCAGGAAATGGAAGAACTTAATGGGTGCTTCTGCTATTTTAAGTAAATAAGTCACAGTAGATTACTGAGAAGGCAATGTTTGAACAAAGATTGAAGGGGCCAAGTGAGCAGGCATGGCAGGTCCCTGGGGAAGAACGCTGAGGCCAAGGGGATAGCAGGTGCACATGCCTCGAGGTGGCCATGTGCCTGGCATGTGTTAAGAACCAGTAGGAGGCTGCTGTGGCCAATGTGGAGAGAGGGAGGTCAGAGGTCAGGGGTCAGAGGTGTGGTGGGAGACAAGAAAGGCTGGCTAGAGCGTATAGGTAGTAGTTCTCCAGGCCAGCTACATGTTAGAATTACCTAGTGAGCTTTAAGAAATACCAGGGCCTGGGCCTCACTCACTGAGGTTCTGCTTTAACTGGCCTGGGTTAGGCATCAGAATTATTAAAAGATCCCTCTGAACGAGGCCTCTTAGGCCATAGCCATCGGACATTCTTCATGGGCCGGGGCACGTGGAAGTGAAGCCTCAGGGAGTGCTCGAGGGTGGGGGTGTCCAGAGCTTTGGCGCGTGGCGTTTTCTCCATGGTCTGACCAGTGCTTTGTGGCTTCCCAGGTGGCGGCAGCACCTCCCGTAGGTGGCCATGGGGAAGCGATACTTCTGTGACTACTGCGACCGCTCCTTCCAGGACAACCTCCACAACCGGAAGAAGCACCTGAACGGGCTGCAGCACCTCAAGGCCAAGAAGGTCTGGTACGACATGTTCCGAGGTGGGTGTCCTCTGGCTCGGTGGCCGGGCTTATGGAGCCCTGGTCTCTGATCTTTCTCATTGTCACACAAGGGACACTGGGTCAGTGACAGTCTGGGTCTGGGCTCTTTGAGGATCAAAAGAGAGGGAGGCCTGGGCCGCTGGTCCCCAGGGGCAGATGGACCCTCAGAGGGGCAGAATGTGAGCTGGAACGTGAGCTTCTCTCTTCAGCGACCTTGACCGAGGGCTCTGCGCTGCAGCACCTGCCAGGCTCCGGGCATACTTTGCGCAGGTAGAAGCCTTCTTGGAGGAGGTGATGTCAGAGCCAGTAGCTGAAGCAGAGGCCACAGTAAAGGAGGGGTGCCTTGTCCCAGGGCAGAGGGCAGCCTTTGAAGGGCTTTAGGCAGCGGCAGACCCACGTGGGACAGCGCCGACTCCGCTGCTCGGAGAGTGGTCAGGTGCAGTGAATGGTGGTTGAACGACTGCCTAGAGGGGCAGGCGAATGGCTGAGCTGCGAGGGAGGACGAGCTCTCCCGGGAAACGCTGCTCAGAGCAGGTGAGACCGTGCACCCAGCACAGGCCCAGGCCCTCGGGAGCTGCCCATAGTGGGGAGCTGTGCTGCTGCTCGGCTGTCACTAGACGTGCACACTGAGGAGCAGCCAGGGAGGGTCCAGAGCGTGCTGGGCAGGAGCCGGGTGGAAAGGCGTGAGAGCTTGGCAGTGGGGTCAGGGTGGACCAGGAGCTTCTAGAGCGAGCCGGCCGGGGCTGGTGCTCCACAGGTTGGGGAGCAGGATTCTGGGACAGGGCCCAGAGCCTGGAAGGATGGAACCAAGTCCCAGTAGCCAAGAAGGGAGGAGAAGGGGACAGAGAGTTCCCTGGTTGAGACAGAATTCATGAGAAGGGAGTGAGCATTTATTGAGTGCTTGCTGTATGCCATGTGCTTTCCTTGGTTCCTCATTTGCTTCTCTTGGTAACTCTCTAAGCCAGGCAACCCTGGCTGGGGGTCAGGATCACCTGGAGACCTTTAGTTAGAAAACACTGACCCCTGACCCCATCCCCAGAGGCAGGTTTGGTAGGATGGGGACCAGGGGAGGTTATTTTTTTTTTTTTTTTTTTTTTTTGAGACAGAGTCTCACTTTTGTTGCCCAGGCTAGAGTGAGTGCCGTGGCGTCAGCCTAGCTCACAGCAACCTCAAACTCCTGGGCTCAAGCGATCCTCCTGCCTCAGCCTCCCGAGTAGCTGGGACTACAGGCATGCACCACCATGCCCGGCTATTTTTTTGTATATATACTTTTTAGTTGGTCAATTAATTTCTTTCTCTTTTTAGTAGAGACGGGGTCTCGCTCAGGCTGGTTTCGAACTCCCGACCTTGAACAATCCGCCCGCCTCGGCCTCCCAGAGTGCTAGGATTACAGGCGTGAGCCACCGCGCCCGGCCCAGGGGAGGTATTTTTAAAGCCTTCCCGGAGTCTCCCCACTTTGGATGAGGAGGCTGAGGCTCAGGTGGAGAGACAGTGGCCAGGCCACTCAGCAGGCCGGGCTTGGCTGGGAGTGGGAACAAAGGGGGAATTCGGGGACACTGGGGTCTCCAAGGTGGAGGCCTCTGACCCTAGTGTTAGGCAAAGACTCTCTGTCACCCAAACCCTGCAGGGACTGTGATCTAGCATGGAGGCAGGGTCACCTTGGTACTTGCTCCTAGTCCCAGACTCTCGGCAGCTGAGAACGGCAAGGTCCCGGGGTCCAGGGCTGATTGCAATGGTCCTGGTGTTACTTACAGAAAAGGAGAGACAGCAGGTGCCACTAGCCCCTCCTTGGGACTCCTGAATTCTTAGTGTCTTTGGTGTCCTCCCCCATCCCAACCACGTTCCATCCTTAGAGCAAGGGGGGCTGGGCAGGCCAGGGGTCCCCAGCTGTGGGGGCTGAGCTGGCGCGTGAGCTCTTTCCACTTCCTCAGGAGGCTGCCCAGGGCTCCAGCGCACCCTAAGCGACCACACAAACTTGGGGAGTCACCTTATGCCCCAGCCTGGGCTCCTCTTGACTCCTGCTCTGCTTCCAGCTTTGTGGCCTGGGGCAAGTCCCTTGGCCCTCAGAGGGGCTGGCAGCCCATCAGCCGTGGTCAGGACAAGCACGGGCCCTGGAGCCAGGCTGCCTGGGTGTCAGTCCCAAGTGTCGCTCACTCACAGCATAGTCCTCATTTTGTCTGGGAAGGCTTTACAAATACCTCGCCTGGTCCCCACCCCACCAAACCTGCCTCAGTGATAGGGTAAGGGGTCAGTGTTTTTTACCTAAAGGTCTCCAGGTGATCCTGACCCCCAGCCAGGCTTGCCTGGCTTAGAGAGTTACCAAGAGAAGCAAAAGCCATGACAACAGTACCCACCTCCCAGGGACAAGACAGGCTCAGCAGGCTCATGGTGACTGCATGGCACATAAGGGTTCACTAAGCAGGAACAGTGCCTGAGGGTCCTCAAAGGATTGCCGCAGGCCTTTATCTCCAGGCTCGATCATTCAGCATGTTATTGGCTCCCAGACTGGCTCTGAAGATTCAAAGATGGATAAAACAGGGCTCCTCTTCTAAGTGACCTTGTGCCCGATTACAACAATGTGTTCCAGGCAGAGCCCCCTCCTGCCTAGGCCTCCATGCCCTGCCGGCCTCTTCCCCCTGGCTGCAACGTCACTGGCCGCTGCATGTACTGTGGCATGTACTGTCCCCGCTGCAGGCATGCCCTTCCTGCTGTCCTCCCCAGCACAAGCCAGGTCCCTCCATCTTAGAACTCCACTCAGGCAGCGAATCCTCAGGGACGTCCTCCCCGACCCCTGGGCCAGTCAGGTCATTTGGCTGCATGCTAGGTGTTTACCCCATTTCTATTCACATGGATTAGTGACTGCTGGACCAGAAGGAAGGACCAGCTCTGACTTGTTCCACACTTAAATCCTCTTCCTGGCCTGGTGCCTGGCACACAGGACGTGCTCAGTGAATGTTTGTTAGATAAATGTCCAAATGAATGGGCAGACTAACCCAGGGCACCTGGGGCAGCTGTTCACTTTGTGAGATGAAGTGAGAAGGGCCTGTAGGGTCAGATCACAAGGAGCCTTGAACGCCAAGTGGAGGAGAGCATGGGCTTCCTTGTGCAAGGCCCAGGCGGGGGGTTCTCAGCCCTGGTTGTACTTCAGTGTCACTCAGGAGCTTTAAACAATTGTGATGCTCTCCCCCTCTCACGAATTAAAGCAGAACCTGAGGCGGGGGTGGGGGTCCAGGTATCCATGTACTTGAAAATCTACCTGGCGATGCTGGTGTGTGGCTGAGGTTGAAAACCACCAGCCAGAAGCTGGGCAGCCTGGAATTCCTCTCCCACACTGAGCCGCCCAGCCACGGCCCCTTGTCTGGGACTCGGGCTCAGCCCCCCTGCCAGGCCCAGCTGTCCTAGCCTCAGGGAGGGCGTCCTTGGCAACGTCCACATGCTCTCCACCTGCCCACCTTCTCTGGGAGGGGCGGGCAGGGCAGTGGTATCTCTGGCACCAGCTGGGTGGGCCAAGTCTGATAAGCTCCGTACTGTCACATGGACCCTCCCCACCCTGCTGCCCCACCCACAGCTTTGCCAGGCCTCCTGGGCACAAGTCCTCTGATAACCCACTCCCAGCCCTGCCAGGCCAATCCCCAGCCAGCAGCTGCCTTGCCCTGGGGCAGGGAGGGGTCCACATGGACATCAGCTACGCAGCTGCACAATGAGGGGCAGGTGCTTCAGACTGGCACACACCAGGGCCAGGCCTGTCTCCGCCGCTTCCTGACTGTGTGCCCTTGGGCACATCACTTCGCCTATCTGAACCTCACTTTCCCCCTTTGCAAAACAGGGTTTTAGCGTAATACAGTGGATCTGTGAGGAAGCAACGAAGTAACAGCCACATGTGGCGGCACATACCTGTAGTCCCAGCTACTCAGCAGGCTGGGGCTGGAGAGTCGCTTGGCCCGGGAGTTCTGGTCTGTAGTGTGCTATGCCGATCAGGCGTCCATGCTAAGTTCGGCATCAGTATGGTGGCCTCCCGGGAGCTGGGGCCACCGGGTTGTCTAAAGAGAGGGGAAACGGCCCAGGTCGGAAATGGAGCAGGTCAAAATTCCCGAGCTGATCAGCATGGGATCGCATCTGGGAATAGCCACTGCACCCCAGCCTGGGCAACACAGTGAGACCTCGTCTCCTTAAAATAAAAAAGTAAATAAAATTTAAAAACTTAAAAATAATTTTATTTATTTATTTTTATTTTATTTTATTTGAGACAGAGTTTTGTTGCCCAGGCTAGAGTGAGTGCCATGGCGTCAGCCTAGTTCACAGCAACCTCGAACTCGTGGGCTCAAGCAATCCTCCTGCCTCAGCCTCCCGAGTAGCTGGGACTACAGGCCTTCATGCCTGGCTAATTATTTCTATATATATTAGTTGGCCAATTAATTTCTTTCTATTTATAGTAGAGATGGGGTCTCGCTCTTGCTCAGGCTGGTTTCGAACTCCTGACCTTGAACAATCTGCCCACCTCGGCCTCCCAGAGTGCTAGGATTATAAACGTGAGCCACTGCGCCTGGCCAAAATAATTTTAAAATAAAAAATAAATTAAGAAATGGCAAAAGAGCTGCTACCATCTGCTGAGCGCCCGCTCAGTCCTGGCTGCATGGTAGCACCACGCAGGGAACGCAATGCAGGGGCAGCCCCCAGCCTCAGAGGCTGGTTTCTGTCCCTTTCCCAGTGATTCTAATGTGCCTCCAAGGTTGGGAAATCAGGGGCCTCCTCTGCCGAGTGCTCTCCACAACAGCCTTGCCAGGTGGGAGTTCTCTCCCATTTTAGATACGGGGAAACTGAGACTCGGAGAGAGGAAGCAGCTTGCACGTGGTCTGGTCACGTGTAGCTGGGATTTGAACTCAGGTTTCCCAGACTCGAACCCGTGGTCCTTCCTCGGCCTCTAAAAAACGTGATAGGCAAATGTCCAGCTCAGGCCTGGCCTCTCCTCTCCCCGAGAGGGTGTCAGAGCCTCTGAGTCAGGTCACCGTCCTCAGATTTGACTCACAGATTTTAACTGATTGGTACTTTGCCTACCAAGAAGCACACAAAACTTAAAACCATAACTGTAGGATGAAAATAAAGATAGGAAAAATCAGAGGAAACCAGGGTCAGGGGTGGTGTCCAGAATGATTGCTGGGAAGTCCTGTCCTTGGCTGGCCCGGAGCACCCTACACGCAGCTGGTGGGAGGAGGGGAAACAGAAAGCAGAGATTGAGTCTGGCTTACGGAGCATTGCCTGGACTCTAGCATTGGCTGGTGGGCTTCCTGGGCACCAGGAATTATTTAGTTTTAGCATTTTATTTTGAAATAACTATAGCATCACAGATAGCCACACCACCCTAAACATGCCTAATATTGTCTGACCCCAGAAGCTAAGCAGGGTTGGGCCTGGTTAGTACTTGGATGGGAGACCACCTGGGAATACTGGGTACTATAGGCTTGTGTTAAAAATAAAAATAAAAATAAAACAATCAATATATAATGTTGTAACTATAGCATCACAGGAAGTTGTGAAGAGAGGTCCCATGGTGCCAGGATTAAAAAATAAAACAAAATAGCCAGGCGCGGTGGCTCACGCCTGTAATCCTAGCACTCTGGGAGGCCGAGGTGGGTGGATTGCTCAAGGTCAGGAGTTCGAAACCAGCCTGAGCAAGAGCGAGACCTCGTCTCTACTATAAACAGAAAGAAATTAATTGGCCAACTAATATATATAGAAAAAATTAGCTGGGCATGGTGGCACATGCCTGTAGTCCCAGCTACTCGGGAGGCTGAGGCAGCAGGATTGCTCCAGCCCAGGAGTTTGAGGTTGCTGTGAGCTAGGCTGACGCCATGGCACTCATTCTAGCCTGGGTAACAAAGTGAGACTCTGCCTCAAAATAAATAAATAAATAAATAAAACAAAATAAAACAAAACTTCCTGGTGATTCCATTGTGTGGTCAAAGTTGAGAACCTCTGACCTGAAACCTGGTTCCTTTTTTGGCTGGTCCTGGGTGGGGTGGGAGGGGCTGAGGTCACCCAGGTTGCTCATATTCTCTGCCCAGGAGCCACTCCTGTGCTTGTCCCTGTCCCCCTGCCCCCCATGGATGGGGAGCTCCTTTCCTTCCATACCACCATGTCCTGCCGAAGTCCACGCCCCTGTGGCTTTCACCTCCCCATCTCTTGGTGCTGCTGACTGAACGCGGCCCCTCTCTTGTCCCACAGACGCAGCCGCCATCTTGCTGGATGAGCAGAATAAGCGGCCCTGCAGGAAGTTTCTACTGACAGGTAAAGTGCTCTGCTCAGCTCAGGTCCCCGCGGGGACCTCTGCAGAGCGTCTCCCCCGACCCTGGCCAGCAGCCCAAGCCCACTTTGCAGCCTTGGCTGTCACTGACTGGTCATGCAGGGCTTTCCCGGGGGTTGTGCCTTAGGACTCCCAGGCCCTCGGCTCGTCAGCCCCAGGATGTGATTTCATCGGCTCCTCGGAACAGCAAGCACTGGGAGATTGCCGCTGAGTCCAGCAGACACTGATAAGTGTAATAGACTGGCTGATTAGATTAGCCTGGGAGCCCGACCGCCTCCGTGGCCTCCTTCCCGCAGGCAGGGCTGGGGATGGTAATAGGTCCAACAATCTGAGGAAGTTCAGGGTCAGAGCCAAGGATGCCAGGTGCTAATTAGACTGCTCAATACTCAGCGAAAGCTGCATGTAGTTCAAAGCAATACAAACCTCAGTAAGTGAAGGAACCAAAGACAGATAAAAGTAATTGGAGAAAAAATAAGACAAAACTAGGAGAATAGTTTCCCCCATGCTTGCTCATGAGGTCCTGTGTACCTTCTAAGGGTTTGGCCCTGAGCTCCCTGGCAGCCAAGGCAAAGAGGAAAACGGTGATGTTTCCCATGGTTTGTAAGGGAGCTAAGCACTGGGGAGAGCTGCCGCTGTTGAGCTGGGGCAGCTGGGTGCGTGGCCACGCTGCCTCTAGCATGGGCCCCAGGCCTGCAGACGGGGCTTCCCCACAGACGTCACCTCTAGTCTCCCCGTATTTTGAGACACATTTGGGCCCCTTGGTTGAGATTGGGAAGGCATCCCGGACTTGGGTACCTTCTTGGCGAAGCTACCATTGAAGCCTTTCTGAGGCACAGTCCAGCTGCCGTGGTGAGGCAAGTGGGCGGCCGCGGCACAGCTCGCGCCGTGGCCTGGCGTGCAGTCGGGAAGCGTGACCCTTTGAGGAACCCACGTGTAGTTCATCGAGGCGTGGGGGTGGTGTGACGAGAGACAGCCCACAGAGGCTCGTGCGGCACAGTCATGACAGGCTTTGGCTGGGTGTGACCCCAGCACGGGGGAGGGGGGGAAGGGTCACGAGCAGGGCGTGACGGGTCAGATGGGTCACTCCGACTGCTGAGTATGGCGGACCAGATAGAGTCCAGTTTTTTGTTCCAGACTGGGATTGCTTCAGGCCCTGAAGTTGCACCCCTCAAACCCCTGGAACCCCTCATCAGGGTGCCCCTCAGCCCACAGTGCCAGCCTTCCTGAGCGGCGAGTGACTCTGTCTTTCTGTCACAGGCCAGTGCGACTTTGGCTCCAACTGCAGATTTTCCCACATGTCCGAGCGTGACCTGCAGGAGCTGAGCATCCAGGTGGAGGGTGCGTCTTGGCGGTCCCCTGGGGTGCGGGATCTGAGACCAGGGGAGCTGCCCTGTGGGGCAGGCCACAGGCTGCTTAGGTGACCGGGAGCCCTGGGCCTCTCAACTGCCCAGGCATGAGCAGAGAAGGCCCAGGGCTGTGTCCTGAAAGAGGACCACACGTGGCTTCCTGCCAGCAGCCCTGAGAACGTGCCCCGGCCTCTCCTGGGCCTGTGGCCGGCCTGGTGGGTCCTTCACGGACGCACTCCCTCCCTCCCTCCCTCAGTCAGGCAACAGACGGAGTCCCAGCGACACCAGGCAGGTCCCCATGATGCTCTGGGGACAAGGAGATGAAGAAAGCATCCTCCTGCCCTCAGGAGTCTCACAGCCTGGTGGTTCTAGGGAAGGGCGAGCTCAGCCGCCATGGAAACTGGCGTGTCTGCCATTGGGAGACTCACGTCTCTCTGCTGTCCGAGAACACAACAAGGAAGTTCCCACGTGGACGGTCGCTATCGACCTTCCCCCGGCGCCCTCATCGAGGCCAGCTCCAGGTCACTGAGAGCTGCCACTCGCGCTTCCCCGGCCAGGTGGCCTCAGGCAGCCAGCAACTGTCTAGGGCCTTTGCCCTGGTCCCTTGCGGGGCCTCCCTCCCCCGGACCAGGCAGGGCTGGCAGGCTCCGTGCCCTGCCCTGCCCTGGGAAGCCGGTGGCGATGGCAGTGCGGCTGCAGCCCTGGCACCAACGCAGGGTTTCCAGGAGCTTTCCTGGGTGGAGGCAAGGCCTCGTGGGGCCAGCCAGCAAGTCCTGGCGGCCGTGGCCTTTCCAGATCTTTGCTGGCCATGGACTATCAGGGAACGGCTGGTCCCTGGTGGGGACAGCACGGGCCGGGGAGTCCAAGAGCTAGAGATGACGCCTAGTGCAGACAGGCTTAGGGAGAGGCCTGAGGGGGCTGAGAGCCACAGTCCTGGCTCTGCCTGTAACCTGGGCATGTGGCTTAACTCCTTGGAGGCAGGGTCCTGGCCGTCCAAAGTGACTGCTTGTGAAGATGAAGCAAGATGTCACCTGTGTGGTGTTGGCCCAGGGCCCAGCTCCACGTGAGCCTTGGCCGTGCGTGTGATTGCTCCCTCCGGCCTGAGGCCCCTCCCAGACCACGCGGGGACTCTGACCCCCATCGCATGCTCACAACCAGCTCGTATGAACTCCGTTCATTGCTTGGTTTTAATTCACTGACCAATGGTCTTTGTAGGACATCTTATTAGAAGGAAAAACCACAGAAACTGAGGCTCGTTACTTTGCCCACGGTCGGAGACCTGGCAGGTAGTAGAGCCAAGATTCGACCCTGTTCCACAGCCCGCACTGCCTCCTCGCACCCCAGATGTTGAGCCCTCCTGGGCGCCAGGCTCCTTACACGCACTGTCCTGTGTCCAAGTCCCCGACAGCTTGGGCTGCAGCTGGTCCAGTGCTGTCTCCACTGATGTGGAAACAGAGTGAAGCCCAGAGCGCTGGGCTTCGGGGTACCAAGATGGCTTCAGGAGGTGGCAGCAGGCATGGTGGGTACAAGCCGGCAGCTCTGCTCCTGCATCCCCCTGGAAGGTTGCTGTGGCACCCCAGGGCCTGCCAGTTCCTGCTGCGCTCTGGGAGGGTGGGGGCCGGGTGGGCACGAGTGTCCCCCTCACTTGCCTTTGTCCCTCTCGCCCACAGAGGAGAGGCGGGCCAGGGAGTGGCCGCTGGACACTGCCGAGCTCCCCGAGGGCCATCTGGAGGACTGGCTGGAGAAGAGAGCCAAGCGGCTGAGCTCAGCCCCGAGCAGCAGGTACAGGCCCTGCGGGTCCCCTCCTGCCGTGTCCTCCAAGGACAGCACCCCCGCCGGCCTACCCTTCCTGAAGCTGAGGGGTCTCTGTGAACTGCCCAGGCCCAGGGGCCGGACACGGGTCCTCCCACAGAGCTCTCTGAGGGGCCACGCTGGGGGCTCCCGGGTCTCCAGCCCTAGCCGGAGGCTGCGGCGTGTGCACCAAAGCGCCCATTCCCCTTGGCCGAAGAGGAGGCAGGTGACCGAGCAGATCTGACTCTTCCCCAAGCCCATTGCTAGAGGGAGGGGCCTGACCTGTGGTTACTGAGCCCCCAGTGTGCCAGTCGCTGTGCACCTGCTCCCCACTGTCCCCTGCAAGGCCCTGCAGGAGGGGAAACTGAGGCTGATGACTGGCTCGAGTCACAGGGAAAGGTGGTGACCACATGATGGCTGGCTTTGTTTGGTGCTCACAGTGTGCCCAGCACTCAGCCCTAGGCATTTGGGGAGACTGGCACCCCCACTGTGCAGCCAGGGAATCACAACTGCTCCAGGAGGTTGTGGCCGTCCTGCCCACACACCTGCTGCCTGCAGCCCTCACTTGAGAGCGAGCCGGGTCCCTGCTCTGTGTCTAGACCACAGGCTGCCTCTGTCACCATGTTCAGGCCTGGCCAGCAGCTGGGATGGTAGGGGCTGTTTCTGGAATGGAGTCTGCAACTGGGGCCACTCTCAGCTCTAGGGGGTCTGAGCCCTGCCCCCCAGGCCACTGTCCTGGCCACCCAGCCTGGCCACTTCCAGGGCATGCAGTGCTTTCTCAACAGCCACTTGTTCTCTGTGCCCACCCACCTGTGCGCCTGCCTCCTGGGGGCCCAGAGCCAAGACGAGCCACTTTCTCTCCAGCCTGGGGATAAAGGGTTTCAGGAAGTAGGTGACTATTTATTCTGACTTTTGTCATTGCTGCCTCAGGCTTGCACAGCCCTCTCCCTGCAGGCTGGTCTCGGGAAACGTCACCCCTGTTCCTTGGGCCCCAGGCTTTTGCCTCTGCCCAGTGGGATTAGCGGGAGGGGACAGATTCAAGTCCCCAGGTCAACTCGGTGTGTTCCTGTCCCTTCCTCCAGCCTGAAATCAGTCCTGTGGGAACAGTGCCCTCTGTGCGCTCCCTCCCCCTGGCTCTCCTGGGTGGCCACAGCGCCCCTCCCTGGTCTCACCTCCCCTCTCCCCTGCAGGTCATCCCCCACCCACAGCCCTGACGCACCCTCCCCTGCTCCCTCCACCTCCCGGCCTGTGGGGTCACCTTCTCCCCTCTTGCATCTGGCCCCTGTCAGTTGCAATGGACACTTGGCAGTGTCTTAGACGTGGCATCGTTTGTACTTTGGGGGCACCTTGTACGTGCCGTTTCCTCTGCCAGAAACGGTCTCTTGCCTCTGCGCAGTCAGCCGCATCCTGGGAGCTTTAGCTACGACGTCGCCCTTCCAGCCCCCGGCTGCCCCCCACAGCCTGAGCACGCGTGCAGGGCCCAGGACGTGTTGACCGCATGATTGAGTATTTAGAGGAGCAGGGTCCCCAGCCTGGGTGACTGATCCCTGGGTGTTAGTGCCAGGGGCCTCTTGTGGCCACTCGGCTGGCGACCTGCAGCAGCTCCTCTTCCTCTCTGGGTGTCTGTTTCCTCCCCCAGGGCACAGATGGTGGCCTGGCCACCTGGGGCCACCCCAACTTTGAGGGCTCCAACTCCCGCAGGCTGAGCAGAGCCCTCCTTGTAAACGTGGGGACACGGCGGCTCCATGAGCCCCAGCCTGGCAGCACTGTGCTGTCCCCTCGGCAGAATGACCCTGAGGGATGTGCCCAGAGCAGCCAGGGGAGGGAGGCGGCCTCAGACACAGACTAATCCCCCGGCGCAGCCAGTGCCTGTCCTGCTTCCCATTGTTGGCTCTTCAGATTGTGACTTTATCCCTCTTAATCTGCCCCTTTGGACCCCTGTGTGGCCAGTGCAGCCGTCCCGGCCCATCCTCCTCCCAGACTCTGTGTCCTCTTGATTAGGACCGTGGCTGGGTCAATGCAAGGGAGCTGCTCCTGTCCTTGGGCACAGGGCAGACAGGTCACAAGAGAAGCCACAAGCAGAGTGGCGCCACATGTGTACCTCGGTGTCCCTGCACTGTCCTCTTTGCGGGGGCCAGAGGGATCCCTCCAAGCCTTGGGTGCCGTGTCGGGGCCCTGCCAACGTGCCAGTGTGTGAGCAGACGCAGGGTTTGCCCTCAGGGTGGGCAGGGGCTCTGGGCTGAGCCCTGGACCCAGGAGTTAGGTCCCAGCTGCCTGAGAATCTGCCCCATTTTCTGGGGGAAGGGGCTCCCCAGGATCACAGCCTCCTGGGGGAGCCCAGGCTTGGCTGGCGTCTGGGGCTCCCTGCTACTGCGGAGCCTACCTTCCCCCTTCTCTGCGGCTGGCGGAGTTTATGAAATCTCCCCAGTGCCATAAATCATGTCAAGAGCTGCTTTCTGCGCTTTCCAGCAGGCAGCAAGCCATGGAGCAGGGGATGTCCCTGTCCTCTCACACCTGGAGGCCCTAGAAGCTGCACCGAGGCTCCCTGAAGTCCTCGACAATGTGTGGCTGTACGGGTCCAGAGAGGGGCAGGCTGGGTGGTGCAGTGGGGCCAGCTCCCCACCTGCTCCTCCACATACCTGTCCCGGGGGCCCGGGCCCTTCTCTGTCTGCAGGCCCACGAGCCTGCCAGGAGCTACTGGGGCCTCACCCTCCCCGAAGGCTGGTGTGGGACCTGGTGGGGTGCTGCTGGGGGAGGGGGACTGAGGGGGAGGGGTAGTGTCTGTAGCCAGGTGTGGATTGCATTCCAGTCCCCTCTGCTCCTTCCTGACAGTGTCACTTAGTCACATACAGACTTTTTACACCTCAAGTTGCCTCATCTATAAAATGGTGTTCAAGTGAGGATTCTTTTATTTATTTATTTATTTTGAGACAGAGTCTCACTCTGTTGCCCGGGCTAAAGTGCCATGGCGTCAGCCTACCTCACAGCAACCTCAAAGTCCTGGGCTCAAGTGATCCTCCTGCCTCAGCCTCCCGAGTAGCTGGGACTACAGGCATGCGCCAATGTGCACAGCCAAATTTTTCTATATACTTTTTTTTTTTTTTTTTGAGACAGAGTCTCGCTTTGTTGCCCAGGCTAGAGTGAGTGCCATGGCGTCAGCCTAGCTCACAGCAACCTCAAACTCCTGAGCTCAAGCAATCCTCCTGCCTCAGCCTCCCGAGTAGCTGGGACTACAGGCACGCGCCACCATGCCCGGCTAATTTTATATATATATATTAGTTGGCCAATTAATTTCTTTCTATTTTTATAGTAGAGACAGGGTCTCGCTCAGGCTGGTTTTGAACTCCTGACCTTGAGCAATCCGCCCGCCTCGGCCTCCCAGAGTGCTAGGATTACAAGCGTGAGCCACCACGCCCGGCCTCTATATACTTTTAGTTGGCCAATTAATTTCTTTCTATTTTTAGTAGAGATGGGATCTCATACTTGCTCAGGCTGGTTTAGAACTCCTGACCTTAAGCAATCCTCCCACCTCAGCCTCCCAGAGTGCTAGGATTAGAGGCATGAGCCACCACGTCTGGCCCGAGTGAGGATTCTTGAAGTTTCTCTCTAGCCCAGGATGTCTGGCCCAGAACAGTGCCCGGTCAGTTAGAGCCCTCAGCATCACCGCTTGTCAGTCAGCAGTCACTGGGCTCTGGTCAGCTCCCTTTGGACAGGGTGCCCCAGGCCGGGCGCAGGGGATGCCTTTCCTGGGGCAGGCACTTCACATGGGCGCCGAGTTCCAGGGGAGGTGAGCATTGAGGAGAGTGAGTAGCACGAGAAATGAGGCTTTAAAAAAAAAAACTTTAGACAATATTTTTTTTCCGATTTCAAAGGCTTGCGTGCTTGTCAACTTTCGAAAAGTATAAAGAAGTAAAAAAAATCACCCATAACTACACCACTCAGAACCACGGTTAACATTTTGCGGTGTCTTCCAGGGAATTTTTATGCATTTATATATTTTATATATCTTTAAACAAAAATAGTATCATGCTATATACATTATTTTATAAGCTGCTTTTCTCTCCCTGCTTACACAGTATGTCTTTCCCCGTCAGTGCGAATAAATCTGCCTTAATTTTTACGCAGGCGGCGTAGCATTCTCTGCTGCGGACGTGCATATGTATTTAGTCAGTCCCCACGGGTGGACACTAAGGTCATGTCCATGTCTCACGGCCATTCTCGTAGCTCGGTCTCTACCTACAGCCCCACTAGTTCCTCAGGCTCAGTTCCTAGAGGTGAGGTTGCTGGCTCAAAGGGTCTGCATGTTTTCCAGAAAGGTGTAGGCAGCTGACCCTCTGCACAGCCAGGGTGCTAGGGCGGGTGAGCTGGGGTGCGTGGGTCCCCAGCCTGGGCCTGGAACGTGTCCCACTCTAATCCTCTGCCCCTCTCCTTTCTCTAGGGCCGAACCCACCAGAGCCACCGTCTTCCAGTACCCGGTGGGCTGGCCACCAGTCCAGGAGCTGCCCCCATCCCTGCGTTCACCCCCTCCCGGGGGGTGGCCCCTGCAGCCCAGAGTCCAGTGGGGCTGAGCCCCGCAACCCATCCTGACCCCGCCTGGTCACGTCTCTCATCAGTCACAGGACAGCTAAAGGGGAGCCGAGCCCCTTCCTGCTGTGTGCAGGGAGCCCCTGAGACTGTCGGCCTGGCCTCCTGCCCCCATGTGACGTCTTGAGAGGATGGATGAGAAACCTCCCAGATGCTGATAAAGAAAGTCCTGTCTGTCACCACGGTGGTCTGGCGGTGCTGCCCGCACCCTGGGCTCTGAACTCCACTGCCCAGCGCCTCTCAGAGCTTGCGCAGGGCTGGAGCGAGGTGTGATCCTTCCAGGGCGGTCCATGCTCACTGCCCTCCTCCCTCAGGACCAGCGGAGGCTCTGCACGGCCAGGCAGAGGGTGCAGCAGTGTGGCTGCACCTGTTACCTGCTGAGAAGTGGCTCCAGGTCTGAGGAGAGGAGCCCAGGGGCTGTGCTGCCATCCCAGCCCGGGTAGAAGTCACAGCCCCCACGTCTGCCCCGGTGAACTGTGCCCAAGTGTTTGGGATGGCACAGCTGGGCAGGGACAGCAGCTGGTCTCTAGCCTTGAGCAGGGAGAGAAGTGGGGAACACCCAAGAGGGCAGCCGTGGGCTTGGGAGCGCGGCCCGGCCGAGCTTCATGGCAGCCCCAGGGTGGCGCGAGGGCCCTCTCAAGGTTCCGCCCGGGAGGAGCCCCTGGCTGGCGGGAACCACACAGGCTGCTGGGCTATTCGGCCCCAGCTCTGCTTCCTTTCTCAGTTGGACTGCAGTTCTAGATTATGCCCTGGGGTGGTGGGCAACGTGGCCCTTCATGGCTGGGCCTCTGGTGGGGGGCGTGGCAGAACGCGGGGAGATTGCAGGGCCACCTCAGATGCCATGAACTTCTGCCCTTCCTGAAAATCCCTGTTGAAGGGGGAACTGAAGCCAAATCTCAGGCCCTCTGAGCCTCAGGCTCTTCACCTGTGAAATGGGCTGGCCCGGCCCCAGGCAGTGCGTGGAGCAGGAGGGCTGGGTCTAGGAGGGTCAGAGGAAGGGACCCAGGAGAGGGTCGGAGGCCTCCTCAGGCCCAGCCAGGGAGCAGGGCCCAGGAGACCCAGGAGGAGGCCTGCCCCTGCCCTGCCCAGAGTCCCGGGCAAACCTCAGGAACCAGGGCTGGGGTTGGCTGTGTGGTCAGGGGCAGGCAGCTGCCCTCTCTGGGCACAGGGGCCCCTCCTGCCTAAGGAACCACTGCAGTGACTGGGTCCTGGGACTTCCTGTACAAATCCCTCCTTAATTCCCCCGGAGCCCCTGGACAGCGGGAAGAGTTAGCGCTACATACAGGCCAGGGCGAGGGCACGGCAGGGTGTAGGGGGTGGGGGCCATCCTCAGAGCTGCCACCAGGCCCTCCACAGCCAGGCCGTGGCTCCATGCAAGGCCCATGGGGTGGGTGGGGTCGCCGGCTGTCCAGGCCCTGAAGTGGCCCAGGGAGCTGGCCGAGGGAGAGGGCTGCAGGTGGCGGAGATGTGGGGCAGGCCCAGGTGACGCCTATTTCATGCCACTGCGCAGCACCTGATTGGCCGCGATGAGCATGACGCTGATGATGAAGGCGATGGCGAAGGCGCAGATCAGACTCTTGCGCACGCATGTCTGCCGGATCTGCTGGTTGGAACAGGCTGTGGCCGCCGCCGGAAGCACCAGGGAACGGAGGAAGACAGAAGGGGACATCGAAGCGATGGAGTCAGGGCTTATCCCATGGGGCACACTGGGACAGAGACTTGAGACAGGCAAGGAGGCCCCCCAGCCTCCCTCTGCAAGCCCCTAGCGTGTCCCCCCGCAAGCAGCTGGGCCCGCGCCTGGGGCTCCCGGCCGGTCACTCACTCTCCACGTCCACGGGGCACTCCTCGGCTGTGCCCAGGTGGCTCTCCTCCTCCGTCATGATGATGTTCTCTATGTCCTTCATGGACAGGTGCTCGCAGAAGGTGTCGTAGAGCAGCCGCTTCAGCTCGTCCACTGTCAGCTTCTGCATGTCGCACTTAGGGGGGACACAGTGCTCTGGCTGCCACCACAGTCCCCACCCTGCAGCCACACAGGTCCAGTGACAGACCTCCAGACTCCGAGGGCTGGAAGCCACTCGCTGCATCCCCCTGAATCCCTGACCAACACCAGCCTCCCCCCAGGGAGCCCGTGGCCCTCTGGGAGGCACGATGTCCAGTGGACAGAAGAATGGCCTGGTCACCCCCCTTTACAGTGTGGGCCCAGCCATTCGCTGGCCTCGAATGGAAAGGCTCTCCACAGTGTGCACAGCTCTGGGTCCCAATCAGCCAGGGCATACCTTCCAGAAGACCGTGTCAAAGTCAGTGCCGTGGAACTTCTCTGGGATCCCCGAGGTGGAGAGCTTGGGTCCCAGGAGGGTCACAAACTCCTCAAAGTCCACTTGGCCATCACCTAGCGCAGGCACAGGACCAATCAGCAGGTCGGGCCAAGGCCTGGCCCAGGTGGGCAGCCCCGGACCCACCTTGAGCCCATCAGTGACCTCAGGCAGGTGCCCGTCTTCTCTGAGCCTTGAGTCAATTTCAGGGGCATCTAACATGTGCTAGCCTCTGGGCTTTGCTGAAGCCACCAAGTGTGATGAGGCCCCAGGGAAGGCGGAACCCTCCCCATCTCCTGGGCGGGTGGGGGGCCTGACACTCTCCACCGTGTGACAGCGAATGAAGCTCAGGACAGGGGCGACCGGGCCAGGCTGTCAACTGCTCTCTGCCTGGAGAGGAGGAGGCCACCCGTGGGATGAAGTGGGGACTGGTGTGACTGGTCCTTCCTAGGAATTCGTCCTTAATAAAATGCCAGGTGGCCAGTACAGCTAGAGTAATGATTTCGTTCTGGGCTGTGGGACCTGGGCTATTTATTATACCCCTTCTACTTTCCTGTGCTTTAAAATTGCTCAGAATACAGATGGGGACAGTCTCAGACCCCTGTGTGTGGCTGGGACTGTCACAACCTCTCTGGCCTCCGTTCTCCAGACTGAGAAATGGGACCAGACCTGGCTGTGACGCGCCATGGGCTTTGGGGTGGCTCCAAGTCGGGGGACCGAGAGGCCTAGGGCGGGCTCAGTCTCAGTGGCGCGGGTGACAGCTGAGGAAGCTGAGGCAGGACGCTGCTCACCATCCATGTCCAGCCGTTGGATGATGACCTCCAGCTCCACCTCGTTGGGCATGTAGCCCAGGGAGCGCATGGCCGTGCCCAGCTCCTGCTTGGAGATGAAGCCATTGCCGTCACGGTCGAACACCTTGAAGGCCTCACGGATCTCTGTGGGGGGAGCAGAGCAGGCTGGGACCTCAGTCTTGTCCCCAGCACCCCCTTCCCAGATCCCAGGATTGCCGAACCACAGGCTGAGCACAGAGCTGAGGACCCGGCCCACAGCCTGCAGATCTGCGGGTGGCCCCAGAGCTCGCTAATGGGGCTGCACTTGGGGACCTCTGGGCGGACTGCACAGGGCAGCCAAGGTGGGCGGGGCCACAACAGTGACCCCTCGGGGTCTGGTCTGAGTGTGCGGGGCTGGGGCAGCCTCTCCTCGCGTGCGCATGGCGACCCCGTGTGGTGGGGATCACGAGAGGCGGAGGACACTGGGGCTGGCCAGGGGAAGGCTTCCCGCCTGTCCCCACTCCTGCCAGCCCCCAGTCCCCACCCCAGCGGTACTTCCTTGGGCTCAGCTCCTTGACACGGGCCAATGCTCGCTCAGGCAGCCACAGGAGGCGGCAGCAGCTGCCGACTAAAGGGCACCTCGGCTGGGGGGCTCCCCCAGGGCCAGGCCAAGACAGGTGTGGGGCCACCCCCCACTGTACAGAGGGGTTAGACTGGGCCTGGGGAGCTGGGTGACTTGGGAGTGGGGAGCAATGCACTGGGCTGGAAGCCTGAGAACGAGCAACCCAATGCATGATCTTGGGCCAGCCTCAGTTTACCCACAGCAAAATAGGCAGAATGATACAAGAAGACAGGGTTGTACCGAAGACTGCCATGACTGTCAAGGGGTCCTAACCTCCACCTTTGCTCTGCTCTGTCTCTCTGGTGCAGTCCCTTAATCAGCAGAGCCTCAAAGAGCATCGGCCCTTGGGGACAGGGAGAATCTCAATCCACATGCTTTAGTCCTCGGGGGTCTCCTCCCCCCCCTTGAGCCATCCTCCTGGCCTTTGTTTGGCTGCTCCCCAGTGTGGGACTGCGGCAGGCGTGGGGCTCCCTGTGTGCACGTGTATGTGTGTGTGTGTGTGTGTGTGTGTGTAGAAGCAGCGACAGATGAGGTGTCCCATGTTGCAGACCCAGAAACTGAGGCCCAGCAAGGCCAGGCAGCCACCCAGAGTCCATGTGGGGTCAGGGCTATTTCTGCTGCCGAGGCTAGTCCAGGCCTCGCCTTAGGGGATCTGTGAACCCTGATCTTGCACCTTGGGGTTATTCCCTGGTCTGGGGGTGGGAGGGCAGAAGAGCCCAGCCTAACCAGTTAGCCCTGCCAGAGATTAGAGGCTGTGGCCCAGAGAGGGTGCCATGTGTTCTAGGTCACACAGCAAGGTGGCTTGGGCTAAGCCCCTGCCCTCATGAGGCTCTTCCCACCTGGTGTCTGTACCAAAGGCCTGGAGGTCAGATTGGCTCACCTGTGGCCAAGACAGACCAACCATGGCTGCACCTAAGTCACCCGGACCCCCAGAGCCTCTGACTCTGGACTTTCCCCATCCATCCCGGGTGGGACCTGAGAACCTGGTCCTAAACAGCGGCCCCAGGGCTAGGGAGACAGCTGGGCTGGGAGGTCTGGGCCAGGGCCAAGGGTTTCCGCAAAGCCTGGACTCTGAGAACTCCTGGCTAACTCCCACCTAGAGCTTCCATGGGGACGAGGTGGTGAGCTCCCCATCATCGAAGGTGTGTAAGCAGAGGCCAGCAGCCATGAAGGCTGTTGAGGGGACTCCAGACACCTGGGAGTCTCTGGGTGGAGATAAAGGCATCACTTAGGTTTCTGGCCAGCGCTGCTGCTCTCCTGGCCCAGCCGCAGGCTCTGCCCACTCCAGGTGTCCTCAGCTCCAAGTCTCTGGGTCCTGGTGGCACCAGGCCTGCTCCCAGTCCTTGCACTGAGCACTCTGAACTGTGAGCCACGAGGGCCAAGGCAGCAGGGAGGGGTCGGTCTTGTTCTCAGTTGTGTCCCTGCTGGCTAGAACAGGGCCTGTCATTTAAGCGTGAACACTTGCTGAATGAATGATGAGATGAATGAACGATTGATCTGGGGAACCGGCCATCTGGAGCACACAGAGTGCACGCACCGCTCGACGTGAGGCTGTCACTCGGACTCCACTAACCGTCCCGTCTGCTTTCACCTTCCCTGGCAGCCAAGACGCATGAGGGGAGGCTCGGGAGGCTGCTTGTCCCCTTGTCCAGACCCTGAGTACCTACCCCCACCTACTCTAAGGGCCACCCCCCAGAAGAGGGGAATCAAGATGAATTTTGTGGGGACGTCCTTGGACCTCTGGGCCAGGGGCTGTTTGGGGCCAGGGGACCCGGGCCAGGCTGCACCTCTCTGAGCCCTTGGCTTCCCCGGTCGAGGCCCACTGGGAGACCACAGGGCGGACGGCAGAGCCCTGGACGCACAGCGGGGATGCAGTGAAGCCGCCCCTCCCCTGCCATGAGCCGAGATCCAGGCTACCCCCCTCCCTGCAGTGGCCACATGTGGCTCCCAGAGCCCAGGGCTCTTTGCTGGGGGCCCCGAGGAAACGCACGGGGCTGGAGGGGAGGGCAGGTGAATCTCAAGCTATGTGGGCTGGCGACAGGCCCTGAGTCAGCCCCATGGGCCCCACAGCCATTTCTCGGGCAAGGCTAACCTCCCAGGCCACTAGGTAAATCCACAGACTGCCACCAACCCGTCCAGCCGTCCCTTCAACCACCCCTGCTTGGCACACGCAGCTCACACCACAAAGTCCTGCTTTCTGTCCTTGCCCGTGCTCGGAGCCCTGCCCCAGCCCCAGCTGGTGCCCACCGGCCCCTGGAGGCCAAGTTCAGGCTCTACCCTCTCAGCCGTGGAGGCAGCTGAAGTTGCAGAGACCCAGGGTCAAATCCCAGCTCTCCTACGTCCCGGCAGGGTGACCTTGGGCAGGTATGTGCTCACCTGTACAAAGGGGCTACCGGATGATTAAGCAGGAAAATGAAGCATGTGTTCGGCTGGGCCTGACTCACAGGCGGACACTATCAATCAGTGTCCCGGATGGCAGAGCTGGAGGGAGAGGCAGGACTGCGTGAACTCGGGACACCAGGCCAGCCTTCCTGTTCGCTAGTGTTGGGACCGGAGGCCAGTTCTTGGATTCTGGCTCTGCCACTTAGCAGCCGAGGGACTTGGGCACGGCACGGCCCTCTCCCAGCCTCAGGGGCCTCATCTGTGAAGTGGGGACGAGGGGCCCTGCACCGCGGCTGAGGCCCGGCCTCTGCAGGGGCCTCCCTGAGTGGGTGGGTGTCACAGCTCCCTGTCCCTGCTGTGCCATCAGCGCATCACAGCTGGGTGCATTTCCCCGAAAGCCTTGCTTCTTTCCTGCCCCCAGGAGGCCTGGGAATGGGCTGGCAGGGCCACTGGGTTTCCAGACTGATGCTGTCCCCACCTGCTGCCTCCAGCCTAACAACCCCCAATCCTCTCCCCCAACCTGCGGAGCTTCGTCAGGGCCTGAGTCCCCAGCAAGCCCCAAGGGACACCCGCACTCCGTCAGAGAGCTGGAGTCCGGGGGGAGGGAGGCACCGGCTGGAGGCCACAGGAGGGGGCAGTGTCCGTCCTCCGCAGTGGCTGCCACTCTCCGCGGCGTTGGCCCCATGCCCCACTACTCCAGCCTCCCTGAGTGCTTGGCCTGTGCAGAGGCGGCTGCTCGGCTTGCAGGGACGAGAGGCAGCAAAGGGGGCTCTCAGGCGTCCCCTGCCTCCAAAGCCCCCGTTCGGCCAGTCTGAACTCGGGCCCCACCGTGTGCCTGCCCAGGCCAAGTGTCAAGCCCAGAGCCCTGCCCTGGTGGCTGTCTGCCTGTCCGACCCCTGCCTCCTCTCTGGCCAGAAGGGCTAAGGCTTACAGCCACCCCCGTTCCACCCTCAGGTGCTCAAGTCCCACTGAGGCTGCTGGGACCAGCCTTGGTGCCCTGCAGGACTCTGCTGCGCGTGCGTGTGGGGAGGGGCTTTGTCCCAGCCGTAATCCAGAACAGCCCATGCCTCTCCCTCCCGGGGCCTGGGTGGGCCTCAGGCCAGCTCTGGCCAGCCACCTCCCTACCCTACCAACTGCCATCCGCCGCTCCCCAGGGCCACAGGTGCCTCCGCCAGACCTTTTCCACCCGGCCCCAGGCCCCCGCCCCGCTGCCGGGCCCTATGCTGAGTACTTCCACTGCGTCTTCTGTCCCCAACCCCCTTTACATGTGGGAAAACTGAGGCTCAGAGAGGCACGTGATTGCCCAAGGTCACTCCATGAGCCAAGAGTGCAGGGACTTGAACCCCATGCTGCCTAGACCGGAAGCCCTCAACTTGACTGCACTCCCCACCTCCCTGGATGGTCCTCCCCCCACCAGACTGACCGCCCCTGGGTTCCTGCGGCAGCCACTACTGTCTGCAGCATTTTGTCCCCGGCTGCCCGGCTCCCTCTGCCCAGCACATTTGGCTCCCTGGCTGATGGCGTCCTCCCTGCAGAGGGCCTGGGTCTCACCCAGACTGTCGGGGGCAGGGGCACTCCTCGGACACTAGAGAGGGGAGGTGGGCATGGGATCTGTGCTAGGGACAGCCACTCTCTCCACCTGGCCCTGGCATTCAGGAACCACTGCAAGGGGCCTGGGGCCTGCAGAGGGCTTTGGGGTGTGCGCAGCCAAGAAGAGGGGCCGTCATGGAGGACTTCTTGCCTTCCTCTGGAGCTGTCCACTGGCCACAGCCCCCATCGACCCGCCCCAGGCAGGGCCCTGCCCTTCACATGCCCCTGCGTCAGGGCCCCTCTGCTCCCCAGGGCCCAGGAGAAGGGGACAGGAGAGAGGCGGGGAGCGCATGTGGTGTGGCTGGTGACTAACGCCGCTGGGCTCCTGCCAGCACGTCGGCTGGGCTGCCCAAGAGGAGCCTGCGGCCTCTGCCCTGCACTGCCCACCCTGTGCCCCTCACCCCTGCAGCCAGCCTTCCCAGCTTCTCCCCTTCCTTGGGGGGTGCATGCCAGGACCGGGGGAGCTGGAGAGACAGGAGCCAGCGAGGCTGGGGGGGGCACAGTCATGGTGGGGATGCAGGGAGCAAGGGGAGGGAATGAACTGGGGTCTGGGAGACATGCTGACCCGTGTCCAAGTGGCCAGGAGGAAGCGATGGACGAAGGGAACCTGGCGGGAGGTTTGGAGTGTCCCGGGCACAGGGGAGGAAAGTGGGGGAGAGATGGCCTGGGCCCCATCCCTGCCTTCTGGGCCCCCATCAGACCCCTCCTTCTCCCAGGCCCTGGATGAGGCTCTGGACCCTGGGCTTTGGGGGTGAACAGTGCGGTCAGGTGAGGGGCACGGCACCCCTGTCTCCATCCTGCCGGCAGCACACCCCAGACCCCGTTTCTGCGGCTCTCCCCGCATCTGAGAGTTTGCGGGGGCAGCGGGTGAGGAGTAGGTGGCTCGTGGCCTGTGGTGCAGTGAGCGTGGTGGTGGCCTCCTCTCTCCGGATCTACCCCTGGCCCAGCCTGACTCCCCCACGATCTGCCCCACCTGGGCCTGGGGATGGAGGAAGGAGGACCTCCCTCCATGGCTTCCCTGGGGCTCCCACCATCATCCCTGACTGCGCTGCTCGCGCCTGCACCCCCATAGCCCCAGTGAGCCCCCAGATCTCAGAGATCCCAGGACCCAAGGGACCCAGACAGAGGCCCAACCTCTAGTGGCAGCCCCTCCCCCACAGCAGACAAGCAGATCCCAGGAGGCCAGAGCCCCCCACTCCACTCCATATGGGGCCCCAGGAGGTGGGGGAGCCTCAGCACCTCCCTACAGCCGGGCAGGGAAAGAGCTGGGCAGGCCCCAGGGGGCTCACTGCTCCCCAGGACACTCTGCCTGGGGACCCGAGCCCTGCCCTCTGCTCGGATCTCGCCTAGCCAACTGCCTGCGTCCTGTTCGCGTCTGAGAGGCGGAGGTCCTGGGGCAGGTTGGGGTCCGGGTCTCTCTGCTTTTCCCTTTCCAGCTGGGCTATCGCGACCAAGCCGCCCAATCCGGCCACTTGTTGTCGCCACCGCCTCCCGGGCCGCCTTCCCGGTGGCCCAGGCTGGGGGTCCCGCAGCCCTGCGGGGAAGGGGCTACAGCCGCAGGTGGGGATGAGGCGGCCCCGCAGCAGGCAAGAGCAGGGCAGTCGCCCTCTCCCCTTCTCCGGCTGCCCGAGCAGATTGGATTTTTAAAGCGACACGAGCGGAATGTCAATTCGAGCACAGAACCGCTGGCGGACGCCGCGGAGGGGATCAGGATGGGGGCGCTCTGGCCGGGCGGGCCGCGTGGGGGGCGCAGCTCGGACCCCACCAGAGTCCGCTGCGTTGCGGCACCGTCACGGCGGGCTGCGCGGCCCCGTGACCCCGCTGCGGGGCCGGCAAGTTTCCGCAGCGCGGGGGGCACGCGGCCAGGGGCTGGGCCGCCCCTCCGCCTCGGGAACCCCCAGTGCGGAGCCCAGTGGTGCAGGCGGTCCTGCCTCCCCCCGCAGCTGCTCGCTGGGGCGCCCACCTGGCAGCCGGCACCTGCGACAGCCCCCCGCCCGCTGCGCCCCAGCCGCGCTTCACCTGGGCGCACAGGTAGGAGGGCCGGCGGGCGGGGGTCCCAGCGGGGCACTCACCCTCCAGTTCGTCCTCGGGGATGTCCACGGGACGCTGCTCCGACAGCAGGTTGGGCACGGTGTAGATGCCCCGGTACATCAACGCCGCCGTCACCGGGTGGAACGGCATCTTGGAGGCTCCGCGCCCGCCCGCCCGCCGCAAACTTTGAGGCCGGGGCTCATGGGCCGCCGGCGGCCCCGGGGGCGGCTGGAGCGGGCAGGGCGCGCGGCTGCGGAGGGGCGGCGGCGGGCGCCCGCCGGGAGCCTAGCGCCCCGCGCCCGGGCCGCCGGCCATGCGCCCCCTCCCTCGTCGGGCTCCCGGCGGGCCCGCAGGGACGCGGGGCGGCGCCGCTCGGGCTCCCGCTCCGGCCGCCGCGCAGGTGCCCGCGCGCCCGCTCTCGTGCCCCGCGCGCTCGCGCCGTCGCCGCCCGCTCGTCCCTCGCCGCGCGGCCGCCCGGGCCGCGCTCCGACTCTGCCGCGTCGCCTGTCGCGCTCGCTCCTCTGGCCGCGCTGCGCTCCCCGCCTCCGCCGCGCCGCCCCCTCCGCGCTGCCCCCGCCCGCCCCTTCGCGCCGCCGGCCCCAGCGGCCGCCCCAAACCCGCCGGGGCTCCTTCTTCCCTGCGCCCGGTTCCCCTTTTCCCTGCGTTTCCTTCGGATCACTGTCTCCCCCTATCCCAAGTCTTCGGCCACCAGGACCAGGGCGGGGGTGGGTGGGGGTGGGGCCCTTCTCTCCTGCCCTTTGGCTCACCTCCCCCACCGCCCCCACCGGGAGTGGAGAGCTGGCAACCGACCACCCCAGACCCAGACAGGTGAGGTCCGCCCCAGGCGACTGGGTCTTCCAGAAGAATCACCGTTTTGGTGCCAGGAGCTGCTCCAAGGTGGGGAAACTGAGGCTGAGAGAAGGACGTTGACCAAGGTCATGGGCAGGGACAGCAGGCAGGAGCTGGGTTCAGGTTTGGAGCAGGCTTTCCTGCCCCATGGCTGACTCCCGCAGCTGACCTTGCCGACCACAGCAGGGCCCCAGCTTTGGATCCTGCCTACCACTCAGCCTGCATAGACAGAGCCAGGCCTGTCCCATGGCCCCCGGGACAGTGAGGGGCAGACACAAGGCCAGCTGCCTGTGGCATGAAGGCCTGCGGTTCATGTGGCTGCAGGTCTTAGTGCGTGTGCGGGGCTTTGTGTGCGTGGTGTGCAGGGCAGTGTTTGAAGGAGCAGCACGTGCATGTGGTGTCTGTCATCCAGGAGGGCGTGTATGTGCCACCGGGTGTGTGCACATGTGTTTGTGAGTCCACATGTAGAGGAATGAGTGTCCAGAGTGTTCGTGGCCACCTGTGTGTGCCAGGGCATGAGGAGGTGTGCAAGGCCTGGGGCTGGGAGTGGCGTGGGTGCATGTGCACAGATGTGTGTGGATGTTCATGGGGGAGGGTGACCTTCTGCCCTGGACACAGCCCCAGCTCTGGTTGCTACCCCTGAAGCCCCCATCAGAACTGCCTCCCTGCGCCTTCGGTCCAATCAGCCAAAGGCCCCAGCAGGAAAGCTGATTGTCACAGCCCTGCCCGGCCCTGCCCTTTCCAAGCTGATTACATTTTTCTGCTTATTTCTGCTTTTGTCACTGATTAATCACAGCCCTGTCTTGGGGTCTGGAGAGACGGGGCTCGGTGAAAGATGCCCGGCCCCACTGGGCTGGGCCAGGCCTGTGCCCAGCACGTCGGGCACTGCTCCGGGGGAGCTCCCAGCAGCCACAACCCCAGCCGTCTGTCTGTCCATCTGTGTCCCCAGGCCTCTGTGGGCCAGCTGGCTGCCCGTTAGGGCCTGGATCTGGGGTGTGTGGGGCCCCAGAAAAGCCCCGCCCCAAAGCTCCCCTCGGCCCCTGTCCGGTTGTCTGCGATGCCACCATTGCATCAGGGGCTGAAGGCTCTGAGCCCCCTCAGGGTTTTGATGGAGCAGAGGCATGAGGAAGAAGAGGCCAGCACGCGTCAGGCTCCTGCATCCACTACCTCCTCGCTGTGGGACTGTCGTTGTGTCCCTTAACCTTCCAAGGCCTCGGTTTCCCCATCGGGGAAGTGAAGGTGGCAGTGCCGGGTCCCAGGCAGCAGTAAGCAAGATGTGATGTAGCAAATGAAAGGTGCCTGGCAGCACCTCCTGCATCCGGCGTTTCCTATTAGCGTGAAAATCCCCCCAGAGGAATAGGGATTAATAATAATTATAGCTTTGAGTATTGATTGAGCACGGGAGCCACAGTGGTATTTACCGCGTGTGTGGGCTGCGCAGGCCCCGGGCCAGCCGGCTCTGGATCAGGCCCCCGGCTGGAGCCTGCTGCGGGGCTGGCCGGGACTGCGGCTGCTGGCGAGCGGGTTGGCACTCACCCGTGCAGGGGCGGCTCCGGGTCTTGCTGCCCAGGAAGGGGTAGAAACGGTCCCTGAGTAAACCAAGCAAAAGCCAGTGAGCCTGCCTCGTGTGGCCAGGCCCCGTGCGTCCGCTGAGGGAGCCTGTGGGTGTCCACAGAGACACGGCCTCCTCCGGAACCAGAACCCGGGCCTGGGTCTGTGGCCTGTGACTAGCTCGCTCCCTGAGGTAGGCTCCCTCCAGGCCAAAGGGACAGGGCCCACTGGGGACTATAGCCCCAAGTTCATGTGCACCCTACTGCTTGGCCCACTGCTGTCACCCCAGTACCCCGGTGACTCAGAGCAATCCCTGTCCTCTCCCCTGGTGCAAAGCCACAGCCCATGGCACCTCAACCAGGTGCATGGCACCATGTGCCATGTGCCACAAGCTGCACCTGCTCCCCTTCTAAGTCTGTTGGGTGAGTACACGGGCCACGCACGGGCTGTGCTTGTGACCTGCTGAGTCCCCCGCCACACCTCGGAGCGGAGTACAGTCTGGTTCCAATTTATAGATGAGGACAGCCCTGCTCAGAGAGCTGAAGGGACCAGGTTGGCCATCTGAGGCACAGCTGGGGGCAAGACCTGGGCCATGCTGACCTTCCAGGCTCAGCAGGAATCCTGTGGCCTCTGGGAACCACCATCGATCTCCTGGGGCCACCATTCCTAAGTACTGAGGTTCACGGGGCGACCCATGGGTGCCAGGCTTTGCACCCTAGCCCAGGAGTCAGAGGACGAGGGCCAAGGCTGCAGCTCATGATATCCACCAAAAGGCTGGGGCAGCAGGGGTGGGGGGTGAGGGGCGGCACAGTGTTTACAGAGGGACATCGAGGCAGGACTTGAAAAGTCTCTGGACATGGGGTGGAGGAGGATGTGGCACCACGAGCAGTAGGAGTTCTGCATGGAGAAGCCAGAACTCCGTGTGACCTCGCTGAGCCTCAGCTTACCCACCTGTTAAATATTATAGGAACATAGCCCTTGGCATGAAGGATTCGATTCTGCATGCGAACGAAGTGCCTAGTGCAAGAGACATGGTAGCTCTTACTGCAAGTCAGGGGAAGTTAGTGACAGGAGCCAGGGTGAGCAAAAGCTCCAAAGCATGAAAGGACCACGCTTAGCTCTGCAGCGTGGGGTCTGGGTCTGTGCCCCCAGGTCTCCTGTGCCCGACCCAGGGCTGGGCTGGGATTGGGAAGGTGGCAGGGGCTGGGTGAACATCTGTCAGATGAATGAATGAGAAAATGAATGAATGAATGATCACCCGCTTGCCCACCCGCCCTTCAGCTTTGCAGCCCCGTCCTCTCCTCCGTACGTCACGGGAGCAGATGGCATGATTGAAGGGTGTGAATTATGTCTGTCGCTCCCCCATCTGGGGAAGGTGCTGCTGCCATCACACTGCGCTCCCTGGGGTGCCCACCGGGAGACGCGTGGGCCTCGGGCCCTCCCAACAGGGATCTCCACGAACCTCCCCAGCTAATCCTTGGCTCAGGGGGCTGGGAACACCGGGAGAGGCGACCCACTGAAACCTGTGACTCTGGGAGGTTCCCCAAGTGGCAGGGACACAAGGGGAGAGAAGTGGGGACCGCTGCATCCAGAGGCCAGATCTCTCCCTCCCTGAGACTGAGCCGGAGAGCGGAGCCCTCTCCTCTCAAGACCAGCCTGGTCCCCAGGCCCGTGGCCGGAGACCTCTCTCCTCCAGGCCAGCACCCTGTCCCTACCCAGTTCAGCACCAGGGAGAGCTCCCAGCAGAGCTCAGGGCCCAGCTGTGGAGGGTGACACTGTGGAGGGACCAAGGAGAGGCAGCCACAGCAATCAGTGAACCCACTGTCCAGAGGCGGACACCAAAGAGAAGAGGGGATAAGCACCAAGTTCAAGGTCGTGCCGGGACCACTGACCACAGCCCTGTCTGAGCCTGGGTCCTTCTGGAAGAGAAGGTGAGGGAGGTGGGAGAGGGTGTCGAGGGAAGGCAGAGGCTATGGCCTCTGCTCCTTGGCTGAGGAACAATATTGTTCCAAGGACCCGCTGGGGACAGTGTCTGGAGGTGAATAAAATATTCATCGTCCGGGCAAACTCATGAAGTCACTTGATGAATAATGGAATTTATAGACTCGAGATGCAGACCGGGCAGGGAGGGGTGCAGAGGCCTGCGTCTGCTCTGATCCCGGCCCTGCTCTGGCCACCCACCTCCGAACCCTCAGAAGCCCAGCTCCTGAAGGTGATGGGAGTGGACAGGACAACAAGGGACAGAGTCCATGTGAGGGACTCGGGCAAAGGGGACAGAACCTTGAATTTGTTGCTCTGTGAGAAGGAAATTGGTGATTGCAAAAGAGCAGTAGGAGTCCCAGGTGGCCGAGATAAAGCCTGACCGCTGTCACCAGCTCTGTGCTCTCAATGTGGCACCTGTCCTGGCCTCAGTTTCCTCTGCTGTGAAATGGGCTTGATGCTGCCCCCCCCCCCGCCCAACAGCCTGCTGCAAGGACCTGCTGAGATGATGAAGGCGGGGGTGGTGGTGGGGCTATTGCTGCTGTCCCTAAGGCCGGACCTTCTGAGCCTCCCTCTCCAGCCCTCCATCCCCCGAGCCCAGGCGTGGTCTGCCCCGGCCGCTCCGGGTCCAGCTGGCAGGCGAGGCAGATGTGGCCTCCGAGGACAGAAGCTTCCAGCCCTCAGGGCAAGGGTGATGGCCAGGGCTAGAACCAGCCTTTCAAAGGGAAGGGCCTGGGGGGGGAAACTGAGTCTGGGCAGAGGTGAGAGGAGCTTGAGGATGTCCAACCTAGGAAATCACGGACATCCTGTCCCTGGTGTCCTCTGTGGTCCCCC